ACATTCTCAGGTGTGCAAACATCGCGGCCAGCGGGATGGTTCCGGCTGCAGCAGAACCCTGGCCTCCGGAGGCACAGACAGGGCCGGCCCATTCCACTCATTGTCCATATGGAGTCGGTTTAATGGGTTGTCAAGATTCCATTGTGGATAAGTGGTCCTAGTGCGGGCATTGGGAGAGCTGGGAGGATTTGGCTGGAGTGGAACTAGGACAGAGGGGTGAGGACAGAGAGCGGTCTCGAGCAGTGATCGCCAACCTTTTGGACCACTAGTTGGCGACTGCTGCTCCTAAGGTTATCTTAAACCAGCGGTCGCCAACCTTTCGGACCTCACTGGGCCACCAGTGGTCCGCGGACCACTGTTTGGCGACCGCTGGTCTAGAGTATCGACTTGGCAGGAATACCAACAGAAACCCCAGGAGTTTTAGCTTTGCTGGAGTGTATAGCAGGTTCACAGTAAATGGGACTTTTCTGCCTTCTGGCGTTAGGGACACTACACCCCACCCTGTGGGTGAAGCCCCACCTATAAAGCACGCAGACTGCCTGCCAACCAGCACTGGGCTGGCCTGCATCTGTCTGTGAGCAACGGGAAAGAGGTTTGCATCCAAAACACATTCATCTCACTCTGCACTCGTGCATCTGTTACTTGCTGGGGACCCAGATACGATATTCACTTCCAGGCGGGTAATTTATAACAGATTCAAGTGGCCAGCACATTCTCAGGTGTGCAAACATCGCGGCCAGCGGGATGGTTCCGGCTGCAGCAGAACCCCAGCCTCCGGAGGCACAGACAGGGCCGGCCCATTCTGCTCATTGTCCATATGGAGTCGGTTTAATGGATTGTCAAGATCCCATTGTGGATAAGTGGTCCTAGTGCAGGCATTGGGAGAGCTGGGAGGATTTGGCTGGAGTGGAGACCAGGACAGAGGGGCGAGGACAAGAGAGCGGTCTCGAGCAGCGGTTGCCAACCTTTCGGACCACTAGTTGGCGACTGCTGCTTCAAAGGTTATCTTAAACCAGCGGTCGCCAACCTTTCGGATCTCACTGGACCACCAGTGGTTCACGGACCACTGTTTGGCGACCGCTGGTCTAGAGTATCGACTTGGCAGGAATACCCACAGAAACCCCAGGAGTTTTAGCTTTGCTGGAGTGTATAGCAGGTTCACAGTAAATGGGACTTTTCTGCCTTCTGGCGTTAGGGACACTACACCCCACCCTGTGGGTCCCCCTCAATCCTGTTCCACCCTTATTAACCTCTGCTGGGTTAATCCCTTTGAGCGAGCCTCTGTTTCCCAGGGGGACCCTGACAGACAGACACCTTACATGAATTATCATGTTCTTGTGGAGGGACATGATTATCCCATGTTATAGATATCAGAACAAGTAAATAATTTACCCAAGATGTAACACTAGTAAGCAGAACTGCCGGGGTTCAATGGGCCCTATGAGGACTGAATTCATGACTTTGGTCTGTGAGCCCTTGACTTTAACACTGAGACCCGCACAAAACCCAGCATCACATACTAAGACAGCATCTCGCAGAGGCTGCCTGGCCGTTCTGCACACCCTGCTCCTTAGAACTAGTAAGCAGAACTGCCGGGGTTCAATGGGCCCTATGAGGACTGAATTCATGACTTTGGTCTGTGAGCCCTTGACTTTAACACTGAGACCCGCACAGAGCACAGCATCATATATTAAGACAGCATCTCGCAGAGGCTGCCTGGCCGTCTTCACACCCTGCTCCTTATGGAGGGAGAGGGCAGTGGTGTGTCCTGGGCAGGCAGAGAATGGATTCTAGCTGTGTGACCTTCAGCAAGACTCTTAACCTCAGCCCTGGCTGCTTTCCTCCTGGCCTGCAGAATGCATTGCAATGACAGGATCTGGGAGAAATGGGAGATGCTATTAGTATTGACACTGCAGAGACCTGCTTCCCTTTACAACAATTTCATTTGTTGCCTATAAACCACCAAAGCGCACTTTGGCTCTGACTACAGTCAGATGCTCACCTGACTTTGGATTGGAGTGTCTACCTGGAAAAGTGATTTCTGCTGGAGGTTACCATTCACATGATGCAGGCCCGCAGACCCCACATGGGCCATGGCCCTCGAGACTAACACATCCACTCAATTGCAGACAAGACCCCACATGGGCCATGGCCCTCGAGGCTAACACATCCACTCAATTGCAGACAAGACCCTACATGGGCCATGGCCCTCGAGGCTAACACATCCACTCAACTGCAGACAAGGTCAAGGGGAAATGGAGGGGACCGACTCAGTCTGGTTCAGCACACGCAGGAGGGGCAGCGGGAAGAGCCCTAGACTTGGAGCCATTCGGGTCTGGTTCCTTGATTAGTCCTGCCGCTGACCAGCTGAATGGCCTTGGACAAGCTTTGCAATCTCTGCTTTTCTATCTGGAGAATGGGGGTGGCTGCCTACCTTGGAGAGCTTTTGAGAGGTCCTAATAAACTGACTCACTTAAACCACCCACCACAGGGCTCAGGAGCGACTCATGTAGCACCTCTGGCTCTTGTCATTGCTTTTCTGTTGTTACTAAAGCCCGCAGGGCATGGAGGGGGAGGCACCCCTGACTCAGACTCCTGCTCCCTCCTCCTTCACCTCCTAGCAGTGTGATCCTGAGGAAGTTGCATGACCCAGAAGCCTCAACTTACTCTCCTGGAAATTACTTTGTGAGGTTGTGGTGCTAGTTCAGGTCATGTGGAAACAGAGGAGGTGATGAGTAATTCTTAGGTTGCTGTCAGCCCTTCTTGCCTGGCTGACTTTTACTCACAGATAAGGCAGCATGTGTCTCCTCCTCCAGGAAGGCCTCACTGGCCCCCACCTCCACCTCGAGGCTCTGATTTTCCTTTGTGCCTCCATAGGCTCTGCTCTGTGAGGGTCTTTTTTCTAATCTGACTCCCTCATCAGACTTGAGTCCCTTTTAAGGTCTGTGTTCCCAGCACCCTGTGGAGGATCTGCTCAGTGCTTGGGGATGAACCCTAATGTGCGCGGGAAAGGCTGAGTGCTCAGGTGCAGAGTAGACACACAGACACACTCACACACAGGCTGGAGATGGCTGTTCAGAGCTGCCATCTCCTGTGCGCTTTCCTGGAAGGGCCGAGGTGACCAAGACCGTGTCTATCTTGATCGGGACTAAAGCTCCAGCCCCCAGTTTCTGACCACCTGTGGGGCCTGTTAGCCAGGGTTGGGGCGGGGGGTGTCTGGGGGATGGTGAGGTAGGAAACGCTCCAGGTGTTTCCCACAGGGGGAATTCAGCGTAGGGAGTTGTTCACACAGGTGATGAAGGAGCCGAGGAGCCAAACAGGGAACAGTGGGGCAACCAGAGGTCAGCAACAGTGGGAGGCTGTGACCACCCCTAGAACGAGCTGACAGTGGGAGACACACGCTGCCAGGGCCCAGGAGCTCAGGCACCTGCGGAGGACGGGCCTGTGGCAGCCTGACTGACAGGAGCTGGGGCCATGGCGGGATGCAGCCACTGCTGGAGCTGTTACCCAAGGCTGAGAAAGAGGAGGAGACATAGGCTGGCTTCTCCTTCTCTTCACCCTCTAATCTCCCTTTAGTGCCTGTCATGCAGGGGTCAGCTCACTTCCCTTCCTGCATCTCTCTCTCTTTCTCTGTGTCTCTCTCTCTCTCATACACACACACACACACACACACACAGATACACAGGCACACACATTCATATATAGAGACACACACTCATACAGACAGACACACACTCAATACCAACAATATAAAGCAGAACAGGGAAGCACAAGCAATAGATCTAAGGGCAACAGGCAAATGAGCAACACAAAGCTAATGCTTGTGGAATTAACAAATCATCTTGTTTGAAAGCATTTTCTAGCTGATCTATAAAACACTTGCGAGTCCAAGGAACCCTGGTGGCTCTCTGAGCCCTTCACCAAGGGCCTTGCCTCCCAGCTGAGGTCCCGAGAAGCCTGGCTGGAATCAGTCACCCTGGGTGTCTACCTAGCCCCGAGGTCATACCCCCCTTTGCGCCCTTTCCCACTCCCTGGGCGCCTGTCTTGGCCCCTATTATATTAGTTCCCTCCTCAATAGTCTCTGGACACTGAAGCACCCCTTTCCTATTCGGTGTTCCGATCCCAGCCTCTGATCTCTCTCACCCCTGGAAATAGGCCAGTCATCCCAAAGCTCAGCTCTGACCCGTCACCTCCTGGATCAAAGCCTTTCCATCTCGGTTTCTTGCCTGCAGGATAAAGCCTGATTCCTAAGGTTGGTCCTAGACCACCCATGGCCTAGCTCCAATCATATTTCCCACTCCTTCCATTCCGGAGTCTGCTCCCCTCGAACTGAGCAGGGGCATATCCACGCTCCCAGCTGCTGCATCTCGCCTCCGCTGTTCTCTCCAACCAGAGACCATCTTCCTCCTCTTTGTTCTCCAATGTTACCAGTGCTTGAAGCTTTGGTTCACACCACATTTTGCATTCCTGATGGAAGAAGCAATTCCCCCCCATCTCTGAACCCCTGTAGCATTTTATCTGAACTTAAGACTCAACCACTTTGTCGTTTGTTCTGAAATGATTGATGGGCACAGCTTATCTTCCTGCTAAGGTTTTAGAGGGTAGGACCATGGCATCTTAAGCTTTATGGTTCCCATAGCCTCCAGCACACAGTAGGCACTTTTAAATTCTTGTTGTCTAAATGGCTGTACCTTCAAATGAATGAATGGATGAATGAATGGATAAACAGACATGTATACAAATGAGTCAGTGGGTGAACAAACAAGACTAGCCTTTGTCCTGGGGCCCCACAGAGCAGGCTACTCCAGCCCGCCTGAAGGTAGGCAGCTTTAGGTGGGGAGTTAACATGGGTCACACTAATTTCACAAAGCAGGGAGGAGCCAGGCGGCTTTGGACATGTTCTGGGAAGGCCACCTCTGGGGGAGAGTCGGGGGACAGCCACAGATTTTGAGCCTACGGTAGTCAACCCCAGCCCCTGGCTGCCTAGCCCACAAAAGCACTCACATCAATGTAGTTGGCGTTGATGTAGTCGGAGTGTGGGTCTCCATCCAGCACCAGCAGCCTCACTCGGGAATGGTCATCTGCAGGGGGGTGGGGGAAGAGAGAGAGAGAGAGAGAGAGAGAGAGAGAATAAGAGGATGGGTGAAAAGACACCATCAGGTGAGGAGCCAGCCCTGCCCTCTGTTAGAGCCACATTTGTTAATTACTGCACACTTGTCATCATGAGACTTTAGCACAAAACTTCTCATGTAACCCACCAGCTACCCTCAGTTATTGTCCCCATTTACAGATGAGGAAGTTGAGGCCTGGGGAGATTACTATGCCCTAAAGAGGACCTGTATCTTCTCTTTTTCCCACCTGCCCTCCTGATGGCTTTGTCATTACTACCTAGGTGAGTCTTAGTGATTTTATCTTAAAACTAGAGGCCTGTTGCACGAAGAGATTCGTGCAATAGGCCTTCCTTCCCCTGGCTGCTGGCACCGGTTTTCCTCCAGCACCCGGCACCCAGGCCTTCACTCTGGCTGGGCTCCAGCCAGAGCTGGCCCCGGGGCCATGAGGCTTCCGCTGCTCTGCTGGCCCCAAGACCTTGAGGCTTCCGCTGCTCTGCCGGCCCCGGGGCCGTCAGGCTTCGCTCCACCACTTGGAGCCTACGTATGCAAATTAACCGCCATCTTTGTTAGGTTAATTTGCATACTCTCCTGATTGGCTGGTTATCGTAGTGAAGGTATGGTCAATTTACATGTTTGTCTATTATTAGGTAAGATGGGGATGGAAATACCTTCTCCATAGACAGTGCAAGGGAGACTACATGAAAAGTCTCGGGAAGCAAGATGTGTGGATGGGGATTAATGCGCTTCATTTTCATGCTTGTTTAAAAACGGCAAATTTACCTATTTTCCACTTGGGCACAAATTGCTTTTCTTTTGCCTCTTGGAGTATTGCTGCAAATAGATTGTCGGCCACATACTGCTATCAATACTATCATTCGAGCGGAGCTGACTAAATCATTATAAAAGAGGTCATCAATAACTGAAAACCGTGTCACAGAGCATACCATTCCAAACACAATCTAGGCATAAACAAGATTTGCAGGCTTTGGTCGATGGCACGCTGGCTTCAAATAACACCAAATAAAAACCATTAAAAAAACAAGTACAGCAGAAGAATCAGACGAATCTTTTACAATTAAGTAAAGTGAGCTCCGCTATAGACACAGACACACGCAATCAGACCGCCCTGGCCGGGTCTGGCTGGGAGGAGGGGCTCAGCTGGCTGCCCAGGTCACTGTGCAGGTCCCTGAATGACTGGACATGACTCTAGGGCAGGGCTAGGGTTCCAAGTCAGTGGGTGGCAGAGCTTTGAGCATCCCCAGGGCCCCATGCGCAGGTCCTCATGGTGCTCGGTGACTGTATGAATGGGTGACCTGACTGGACCCTGACAGAGATGCTGGGAGAGAAGCAGGATGGGTGCTGTTAGCCCTTGATACAAACGAGGAAACTGAGGCTCACAAGGACTCACTGGCCATGGGCAGGGGGAGATGGAGCTTGGAAGAGCGGGGTCCTCTCAACTCTGGGTCCAGCTCCTCCAGCCTCCAAGGAGGGGTCTAAGCGGATATGAGAAACCACTTCAAGTGTCCAGAGCAGAAGGAATTAATGATAGAGAAGTGGTCACCTGGATGATGGACAAGTTGAAAAGCCAAATAGAAGAGGGTGAAGTAACTCAGAGGTCAGTACGGTGTCTCCTTAGACACGCCTCCTGAGGGACGGTGGGGCAGAGGGAGGAGGTGGAGGTACTGGAGCTCCGGGGCTGGGGCACCTGTGGGGACTGCAGCTGCAGTGGCTTCTTTGGTGAAAGCTGGAGAAAAGCTGGAGCCTGTGGTTGGGACAGACGGCTGGGGCACCTGTGGGGACTGCAGCTGCAGTGGCTTTGGTGAAAGCTGAAGAAAAGCTGGAGCCTGTGGTTGGGACAGATGGGGAGAAATACTCCTCCCCCGGCCTCTTCCTTTCTCCCACCTTCCAATCTCCCACCGGTACATGCCATTGGCCAAACCCAGACAGAAGCCAGCTGCCCAGTGACTGAGAAATGCAACCTGCAGAGTCAGCTCTCTGTGAGCAAAAAGCGAGCGGGAGCAGGCAAGGAATGGGTCCCAGGATGAACACACAGGTCCAGGACTGGGCAGCATACCACGACCTAGCCATTAATTCACTAACTAATTCATTAATTAAAAAACTATTCATTCAGCATCTGCCATGTGCCAGCAGGGTGCTAGGCACTGAGATATACTGGATGCCACTTAAAAAAAATATATATTTTATTGATTTTAGAGAGAGGAAGAGAGAGGGTGAGACAGATAGAACATTAATGATGAGAGAATCATTGATTGGCTGCCTCCTACACGCCACACACTAACTAATTCATTAATTAAAAAACTATTCATTCAGCATCTGCCATGTGCCAGCAGGGTGCTAGGCACTGAGATATACTGGATGCCACTTAAAAAAAATATATATTTTATTGATTTTAGAGAGAGGAAGAGAGAGGGTGAGACAGATAGAACATTAATGATGAGAGAATCATTGATCGGCTGCCTCCTGCACGCCACACACTGGGGATTGTGTCCATAACCCAGGCATGTGCCCTTGACCAGGAATTGAACTGTGACCTCCTGGTTCTTTGGTCGATGCTCAACCACTGAGCCATGCTGGCCAAGCCTGGATGCTACTTTTTTACTCATCATGGGGAAGAGTTCCAGTGGAAGCCAGTAAGGGAGTAAGTGGGAGGTCTAAGTCACTCCTTTGGGTGGCTGGGGGAGTGGGGTGTGAAGGAGTCTGAAGCTAACCTTTATGGAGCTAATGACAGGTACCAGAGACTTTACATACATGACCTTAATCCATCATTTATTACCACAAATAACTGAACAGATTATTGTAATAATACCATTCTGATGTAGTGTTATTATTCTTTCCATTTCACAGATGAAGAAACTGAGGCTCAGAGAGATTAAGCAAGTTTCCCTTGTTACACAGTCTGTAAGTAGCAGGGCTGAGATTCTATCCCAGGCCTGTCTGACCCTGGACCCCGGTTCCGTCCACACGATGTGTAGTCCCTGGACTTTTTGCATCTCCCAGGCCCCACTCCTGGAGTCCGTGCAAGTGGTTGGTCCCCAGCCCCTCAGTATTCTAGCCCAGAGAGGGGAACCTCCTGCGGGACAACCCACCCAGCAGGGGTCACATAGGGCCCAGCATCGAACTCTGAGCTCGGGCTGTTAAGCTTTGTCACCAGAGGCTACAAAATCTGTAAGCCTTAAAAAAGTGAAAATGCATATTGTGTTTTCACTCATTGGTCTCACTAATGACTTATCGATTCAAAAATCTCCTTTACTTACTGAGTTATGCTCCAGGGGTCTACAGCACTGGGAACAGAGATTCTGGTATAAAATGTTGAAAGGTAATTTTCTTTAATATACAGTGGAACTTAAAGTCTGAAAGCCAAAACTATTAAAAACAAAAACAAAAGGAAACAAACGTACTTCGTTCAATATTATTAAAGATGAAAGTTGCCTCTAACTGCCAGATGATGGTGTTTGCCAACCTTCATTCATTGAGCACCTACTATGTGCAGGCTTGTTGAGGGGATTCAGAAAGTGTTATGAAAGTGATGCTCAAGCATAAGGAGTATCAAGCATAAGGGGACAGACTGTACTTAGAAGTGAAACCTCAAGATCTAAAAATAGAGAATAGAGGGCTTTGTGGAGCAATATATGAATGAGGAATTAAAAGTGAGTAAGACTGTCCAGTGGACAATGAGGAAGGTCTTGCCATCAGAGGGACCTGCAAGGGGGAAGGCAGAGCTCCTGAAAAAGCAGGCACACTGTGAGCTGAGGAGTTCCTGTCTTGTAAATGCAGAGTGTGAAGGGATTAGCAGTGGGAGAGGAGACGGAGGAGGTGGCAGGGCTAGATGACAGAGGGCTCGCCACGCCATACCTGGATGCAAGTAACCATTCCCTGGGGTCGGCAGAGCATCCGCGTACAGACTGTATTCTGAGACTGTGAAAGGCTGTTTTAGTATGAAATGACCAGGATTCATTCTTACATGATCTAACTTGTGGAAAGTGGGAATGTGAGGTATGAGGATGAGGTCACATCTGGGTTCAACTCTTAGCTCCACCATTTAGTACGTCACTTGATCTCTCTTAGCCTTGGGATCCTTAGCAAAATGGGGCCAATACTATATAGTTCACAGAATGCTGGGAGGATTGAGGAGGAAATGCAGGCATGGAAAGTGAAAGGACATTAAGAGAATGAAAAGAAGAGCCACAGACTGAGAGAAAACACCTATAAAAGACATATCTGATCCAGGACTTGTATTCACAATATACAGAAATACTCTTAAAACTCAACAATAAGAAAACAAATAACTCAGTTAAAAATGGGCAAATATCTGAACAGACATCTCACCCAAAAAGATATGCAGGCGAAATGTTCAACATCATATTTCATTAGGGGATTGCAAATGAAACACTGAGATACCTTTACACACCGACTAGAATGGCCCAATCCAGAACACCAACAGCACCAAATGCTGGAGAGGATGTGGAGCAACAGGAACTCCCATTCCTTGCTGGTGGGAATGCAAAATGCTTACTGAGGAAGACAATTTCCTCCCACACTAAACACACTCTTACATGACCCAGCAATTGCTCTCTCTGGTATTTACACAAAGGAGCTGAAAGCTTATGTCCACACAAAACCTGCACACGAATGTTTACAGCAGCTTGATTCACAATTGCCAAAAGCAAGATGTCCTCCTATAGGTGAATGGATAGATTGTAGTATATCCACACAATGGAACAGTATTCAGTGATATCTAGAAAGGAGGCATCAAGCCATGAAAAGACATGGAGGAGCCTTAAATGCATACGGGCAAGTGAAAGACGCCAGTGTGAAAAGGCTTCACAGTGTGAAATTCTAACCCCATGGGATTCTGGGAAAGGCACAACTATGGAGACAGTAAAAAGATCAGCGGTTGCCAGGGACTTGGAGGGAGGGAGGAACGGGTGGAGGGCAGTGAAACCATTCTG